GCCCCCGCCCCCTGCCCCCCCCGCCTACCTGCTCTCGCTCACCTTGTGTGCTCAGCACCCAGCACAATACCTACAGGAACAAAGTAGGCATTTAATAACTACTGTGAATGAATTAATGAATGCTAAACACCCCTAGAGAAATTAGCTGAATTCAAGTAACATTTTGAAGCTATTATTTTCAAAATCACGTTTTGGAAGTTCCCCTCTTTGACTTCTTGATTAGTTTTCTCTTACATAACTACCACAAACTTAACAGCTCGAAACTACACACATTTATTATCTTGTAGTTTTGCGGCGTGTGTCCTCTGGGTCCTCTGCTGGAGTCCTTACCAGGCTGAAGTCAAGGTGTGGTCTGGGTCTTCCACCTCTTCTAGGCCACACTCCCCTTCCAGCTTCCTGGTGATTGGCCAGATCCAGTTCCTCCCAGGCATAGGGCTGATGGGCCTGCTTTCTTTCTGACTGTCAACAGGGGGCGTTCTCAGCTCATAGAGCAGCGGTTCTCAACTTGTGGGTCACGACCCCTTTGGCGTCGAACGACCCTTTCACAGGGGTCGCCTAAGACCATCCTGCATATCAGATATTTACATTACGATTCATAACAGTAGCAACATTACAGTTATGAAGTAGCAACGAAAATAATTTTATGGTTGGGGTCACAACATGAGAAACTGTATTTAAAGGGCCAGAAGGTTGAGAACCACTGTCGTAGAGGCTATTTGCCGTCTCCTGTCACCTGATTGTCTCCACAACATGGCAACAGCCTTCTTTAAAGCCAGCAGGAGAGTATTTGAAGAAATAATGTCCCAAATTTGTTGAAACAATCTATACAGCTAAGCAGCTCAGGAAACTCCAAGTAGGATTTCAGAGGAGCGCCGCACCTGGACACATCACAGTAAAACCACTGAAAGGTGAAGACAGAGAATCTTTAAACAGCCAGAGGGAAGCAGCTCGGCACACCCCAGTGGTCCTCAGGGTGACCCAGCTGGGTTCGGTTACATCTGCAGTCCCTTCTGCCCT